GTTCTGCACAAAAGAGGGTTTTTAAAGACACTCCGTTGTTGTTTCTAATTCATTTACACACTCGTGCCGTCAAACTGTTGTATAAACGCAATATCACACTCGTAGAAGTGAAATATGGCTGTATATCGGCATGCTGTGATTACCTATAGCACTCGACCTGCGGCCTCGTGCCTACGGCCGAATCACAGCCATGCCGATATACAGCCATATCTCACTTCTACGAGTGTGATATTGCTCATATATACACACACATACACTACCGGTCAAAAGTTTGGTATCAGGAAGACTTTTAATGTTTTTTAAAGTCTCTTATGCTCATCAAGGCTGCATTTATTTGATCAAAAATACAGAAAAAAACAGTAATTTTGCTAAATGTTATTACAATATAAAATAATGGTTAATATTTTAATATCCTTTAAAATTATACTTATATATATATATATATATATATACATATATTGGTAAAATATTACAATATCTGACTCATTTAGTGATAACAAATGGCAAGCAAATAACTAAACTATCAACGATTAATATCAATAAATAAATCTGATATGGTAATATGTTAGCAATACATTGTGAACCCCAAAATTCAGAGATTCATGTTTCAAAAGATAAAAACAGTGGGCTCCAAAAAGTACTAGGATATTTAATCAACATACTTAATACTTAATTTGCATTAACAAAATATCAAAAACAAGTGCCACTTATTTTAAAGAAATTAGCACAAAAAACCTTTAAGAAAACATTTCTCAAATTACAAAACACACATACTTGACTATAAATATGTAACTGACTGGCCCAAAATGGCCTTTAGTTTGTATATTTCTTTACAGATGCCACTTTGAAATTGGCGTCCAACATAGACAAGTGTGACTAAATCTACCAAAAACATTTGTGGCCTCAATCCTTCTGCAAATTGAGATGGGCTAGATTGTTACCTTGCACCCTTCACATGCGCTAACTCCATAGTGGTAGCCCGAGGACTTGTCCTGGCAGACGAAACAGGGCTTGTAGATCCGTGGTGGTGGTGGTGGAGAAGGTGGGCTGGGTACGAGCTCCTCTGAGCTTGTGCTCTGGGTCTCCACAGCTACAAGAGAACAGAAACAGCCTTTAGTTTGACTCAATGTGCCATAATTTCCTCACAAGGTTTATTATTAGGTTCCTTCGTGCACAAAGAAAACAGCATTTTGTGTTTAGCAACAGTCTGCAGTGACCTTCAACCTTCAAAAGATGCTGCCGCTCCCCAGGAAGGCTCAGCGAGGGAGCGCTTGTGCATCCCGATGAGCAGCTAAGGTCAAGCTTGTCAGGAGAACGTCTCCATTCCTGGAGTGAGCAGACAGATAGGCTGGTGCCACGCTCTTGCTTTCCTCCCAGTTTCAGCTGCTACCGACTGGGACGAGTGCCAGCCTTAATTAATAAAGTCATGACAGTCAGCCGGGGTGTGGAGGGAGAAACCGCACGCTGTGCTTGAGTGGAGCTGCACTGCACCGTCAAAGAGCTGCCATGACCGAGAGCTTATGAAACAACTGTGATTTAAATAGCAGACCATGAGAAAAACCCACGCCAGAGTACATCCTGCCCTCTCCCCACGTCAAGGGCACAAAACGACAAGGGCTTTGCATTTTGAATAGCTGAAATTCTCTGTCACTGATGATTCCCTGTATGAATATGCCCACATGTAAATGACTGTCTGCATGGTGGTGATGATGGCACCGGTATATTTTCAAAACATAAATGTACACAGACACATTCCACTCCGCAACCCTCATGTGTCTCTCTCTTGCTGCCATCCTCTCCTTTCCCGCTGTGTCTCTCACAAATGCCATGGCGTGGAGAAAAATGAGATGAAGACACAGGTTGCTAGTGAAGGAGAACATGCTATTATGTGGGTGCAGTTAGCAGGTGTCATTAATGCAGAGACTTAGATATTGTTTCAATAACCCCTAATAGATGTTGAAAAGGGGTAATTGCCACATTAAAGGGGCAGCCCATTCAAAATTTTAGTCAACCCCAAGTTGTTCCAACTTGTATACGTTTCTTTCTTCTGCTGAACACAAAAGATGATATTTTGAAGAATGTGGATAGCCAAACAGTTGCTGGTAGCCACTGACTTTCATCGTATGGGGAAAAATACTATGGAAGTCAATGGGGATCATTATTGGGTTTCATTATTTAGCATTTTTCTGACCTTTCTCTCTGACCCTTTAAATGTTTTTGCTACTGCAGTAGCATTAAATATTTTTGGTTTAAATATTTTGAAACATGTTAAACAGTAGGGCTGGGTTTTGACACAAATTTCACAAATTGATTCGATTATCCTTCACAAGCTTTCAATTCGATTTGATTCCAATTTTGATGCGATTAGATTCAATATAGATTTTGGATATATATCAGGTACAGGACATAGCAAATTTTCTCAAGGAAAAAAACCATCTCTCAACTAATGCTGTAAAATATACCTGAGAGTCAATAATACGGAAGGTTGAAATTTGCTGATTTGTATACAAACACTTAAAATATAGGCTACTCAGTTTTTGTAATATTAAAGTTATAATACTAACTTTAACTTACATAATTATATTTCTACACCAATTCGTTTTTTGAAATATAAACATTTACTTTACTTTTTTTTTATTTATTTTTTTTACTGCTCTTCAATATTTAATTTATGTTTGAATAAATCAAGCATTGGTTGTCACAAAAACTTGACGGATTTATTCAAACAAATTAAATATTGAAGAACAGTTAAAAAAACAAAAAACAAAAAAAAAACCTTTTCCGCGTTTAAAACACTGAGCGATTACATGAGATAGGATATGGATTTCGGTAAGTTGTACTTTCTTTTTAACATACCTTCAGATTTTCATTCATGTTTATTTCATTCTGTAACTGCTATTAAAGCGGAGGAGACGATCAGATCACGCTGCCGCTTCTAACCGAGGCACTACAGCGATCTGTCACTCCACATTAAACAGCGCCAAAACGGCATTTTTTAATATAATAATGATAATAATAATGGACAGAATGGCAATAAAATGGACAGAATTTGAAATGAGACTTTGTTTCATATCAAAACTAACAAATCACAAATCTTATTGCGATTTATAGACCCTTTTCACATGACGTCACGCAACTTACGTTTTGACTTGAAGCACGGTATTCTTACTTCCGCCCGGCATAGTAAAGCGCTATCGCTACCAGCACGGAGTTCACCCAGACACTTGTACATCTGCCACAAATACGATTAGAGGATAATTGCAGCGGTCTACTCTCGTCCTCATTCAAGGCGAGGCATCTGGCATCTCAAACGAACTTACCGAATACCGATCGCAGAGATTTGCTGCTTGAAGTCGAGGGAGAAGTTGAAAACTGAGCAGTCATACTTTCTGATTAACGTGACTCTCGCGCAGTGTTTGCTGTCTTTATTGCAGATTAAGTTGATTAGATACAGTATATAGCTATGTCAAATAAACAAGCATGTGGTAACAGAAAGCCTTTTCATTCAATAATTTATGTACTGCTCAATACAGCGTCTGTATGTACAAGAATAAAGTTCAACAAAACAAGCTTGTACCATTTAAATATCAATAAAACGGGGTCTATATTTTTCCGCTTTATTTTGATAAACATGACAATATAATTCAGAAATTAATAATAAAATTAAGTTTACATATCGATCATATCAATCATTAATAATCCACAAAGAAAGAGACTATACATGTAAAGTCAAATTAAACGGGGTAATTATAGAGGTCCATAATTCTGTAGCACTAAGGCTTGACAGCGGTCCTTCTTGCATTGTTTCAATATAAAGCCATTTTATTCTTTCTTAAACTGGATAATATTGGGTTTCTTTTCAGATCAAATGCATTTATGGATGTGAAACTTGTCTTAATATGAGAATATTTAATATAAAATATGACTTGTGTCCATGTAGTAAAAAAAAAAAAAAAATCATGAGGTTTGTCTTTTTTTTTTTTGCAGAACAACTACACTTGCATGTAAATATACACAGAGAATTTACACAGTGGACTCACTATTACAATCATCACAGCAACAACTGAAATAAATCAAATAAATTATCCAGGGAATGACATAAACCAAAATAACAAATGAAACGGTTTTAAGTATATATTTCGTGTGGATACGTAATCGTTATCATACAATTCTGAAAGCAAGTCTATAACATTGCTACAGTTGCTGCAAGCTAGCCTCCCAACCATCTAAAGCAGATGTAGAATAACGCTTACAAAAGAACCCGACTGCAAGTACATTAATTTTATTAGTATTAACTCATAACGGACGCCTTTATATTTCAAGTTGTTCCCGCATTTTCCCGAGAAGTCTCCGGTGTAAAGGTATAAAAGAAGTACAGATACACTGCGTTGCAGAAAAGCGGACGTTAGTTGACATCATTGTGAAAAGGGTCTATTGGATGGGAGGTGCACTACAATGTTCCGTTCATTATCTGACAGGCTAGACGAATCGATTCTTGGGATTTATTAATCGATATAGTTTCATAAAAATGAGAATAGATTAAAATAGAGAAATCGATATTCTTTACCCAGCCCTATTAAACAGTGAGTTAGGTAGGATCTCAGCTTTGTCTATTACGAGTGGTATAGTAGAAAACGAGACCTCACCTCCATCGCACTACACATGCACTGTTGCTGAGCCAGTGGGCAACCGTTTGCGTCTATTTCCTGTGTTCAGAAAAAGCAGTCAAAGCTAAAAATACCCACCCTGGCTAGCACAGTCAGATGAGGATGTCGAGTTCTTATCTCTTTCCACACACATACAGCAAACATCCCCACAAACGCAAACACGATTCCCAGCACACGATCAAACGCTAACACAACTGACTTCAACGCAGTGTGTTGAGAGCTGCTTAATGGTTTTATTTAGCAAATGAAGAAAGAAAACGAGAAAAATCTCAAATAATGTGGGGAAACTACAAAAGAAAAACAGAGACCCATGAAGGCACAGTTATGGAGAATTACGAGCAATAACTTGGGAAACACAGGGTTTTCCCAAATATACAGAATACACCTTCTGAACAATGCATTTCCAGTCAATCACTGAATAAAACAAAAAACATTTTACAGAAATGACTCAAAAAGCTATTTCTTGCTAATTTGTAATAAGAGCTGAGCAAATGAGAGGGAAGAAAAAAAAAAAAGTTCAAGATAGAAATTTCCATGAATTTTCCAGGCCTGGAAGCTACAATTTTATTATTCCCTACAAGTCCCTAATAATTCCAAGCTTTTTAATGACTATGGTAACTAGAAGTCGACCAATATTGTTTTTGTTTTTTTTGATGGCAGATACTGACATCGTAGGGATGGCAGATGACCAATATAAAGCCGACATATCATTATTTAATAATACATTTTTTTTTTTTTTAAATAACACGTGCTGCAGTAAAACAATTTACATTTTTACATCACATTTCCTAAATAAGAAATAATTTGAAAATGAATCAATTTGACAAGATAACTTGATAAAAAAAGATTTATACTTCAGATGTGTTTAGATAGTGTTGCCAAAAATATTTCATACTTTGTCCTTTAATGCAACTGTTTTACCCTTCAAAGGCAAAAGGCAGTACCAATGCCTTCAAACAATGTGTCAATTTAATTAATCTGTATATAAATTTGCACCATTTAAAAAAAAATTTTAAATAAGAGCTCTTAATGGAAAAACATAAAACAAACTGGTATCTCAGCACGAAACATTTGCAGATGGTATTTTCACACACAGAGAGAACAGGAAGTGAGAAAAACTACCGGCTGGCATCACACATCCTGCTCTCACGAACACGAAGCTTAAAGAAGGTGAGACTGTTTTTAGATGTCAAACAGTTCATTTCTCTCCCACAATTATTCTCACTGTTGCACTCGTTCCCTTTCACCAAACCTCGCTCTCTTTCTATGCCATTCGCTCGTTCCCTACAGCGCCGTCTGACCTCTTTCTGCTGCGCAGCTCCAATATGAGTGGCACATTTTCCATAACAGGGACAGAGCTCAACACAGATCCAGGACAACATTATGGGAACTGCTCTTCTGACAGCAGACACTGGGGCGATGG